CAATGTACATTATTGGCGTGACAATAAACAGGAGATTGTTTATGTAATGAGGACATTCGTGTGTGTTCTTCGTTCCTGCCGCTCTCCTCACTCTAGTCCCATAGCTTCCTGTCTATGCATATCATAATTCTAACATTATTCAATGAATTTTTATGTTACAAATCTCATCTGCAAGTAATCTTCCTTGAGTACTTCATACATGGCTTGACAAGCTGTAGGTATTGAGAGACAAACTTTGTTTTGATATCCTCGTTCTATACTGAAGTGACTTGTAGGTGCACAGTTGAAAGATATATGAGCGTTGCCTCTAGACGAGCCTCTGCAGATATACTCTCCTCATATTGGTATCCTGTTTTTTTTTATATGGTTCCACTTTCGTTAGAAGTTTGTCAAAGGTGTTGGGTCCATTCTCATGTAGTTGGTGAAGTCTTGCTCATGTCCATCTTGTCCATCTTGCAGTTCACGTAAAATCGTGGCATGACTTCCCAATACTTTTCTTCGACCTATCCACTCTTTGCACCATTCCCTTTTCTGCATTTGGTTCTTCTTTTTGCACAGCAATTATTATAGTACACAACTCTATGCTCTTCGCTTTAACTGTCCGGCGATTATTCCTGCGACACACCATGGTGATCGTACCGCACCCACCACTCGACCATCTACTAGCTACCGGCGCCCGACTATGACTGCCGCCAACCACCCCCGTGTGTACAACAACACACAGGCTTTGCCCGGGAAACGGACAAGGCCCGCCGGGCACTGCTCGATCGTGTGGACGGGGCTTTAGATCAGCGACTTGAGGCTGGATAAATACTGATCACATGTATGACACTCACTGCTCCTGAAAAATTATGGGGTGATGGAACTATATAAGACTGATGTATGTAACCCATATTCATATAAGTACTACTGTCTATTTGACAAGGGCTAATACGTGTAAGTGACTGACTATCTGAGTCTGAGTCACTAATATCCTATTTGAAACCCAATCATTTTGGAGGAGGTGACCATAAACAAGGATATGTATCTCTTTACTTGTAGTATAACACACTAAGTTGCCCACTCAAGGAGTAATGCAGCAGTATTTATAATGAGTTATGGAAATGAAGAGAAAGAATTAAAAGTATATACACTTTGTGTTAGTGTTTTCTTACTTTATAAATGTGTTAATTTAGTTTTGTTTTTAGGCCATTGTGCTTATAGTTTATTTTATATTGACTACATGTGAAGACTTCTAGATGTTCGCTTGTGTTTGTGTAGTCTATAAAATAATGATTGTTTGTGATCTACCTGACCGAAGAGTCCGTAGAGTTTTGACGCCGGGTGATGACGTCAGGAGTCGATGACGTCCTACTCTGAGAAGGATGACGTCACACGTCTTGCGGCGATCAACCTGGGGCTGACCTTGCTTGTGGTGATCAACCTGGGACTGACCTTGCTTGTGGTGATCAACCTGGGGCTGACCTTGCTTGTGGTGATCAACCTGGGGCTGACGCCTTTGTGGTGATCAACCTGGGGCTGACCTTGCTTGTGGTGATCAACCTGGGGCTGACCTTGCTTGTGGAGATCAACCTGGGGCTGACCTTTCTTGTGGTGATCAACCTGGGGCTGACCTTGCTTGTGGTGATCAACCTGGGGCTGACCTTGCTTGTGGTGATCAACCTGGGGCTGACCTTGCTTGTGGTGATCAACCTGGGACTGACCTTGCTTGATCAACCTGGGACTGACCTTTCTTGTGGTGATCAACCTGGGGCTGACCTTTCTTGTGGTGATCAACCTGGGACTGACCTTTCTTGTGGTGATCAACCTGGGGCTGACCTTGCTTGTGGTGATCAACCTGGGGCTGACCTTTCTTGTGGTGATCAACCTGGGGCTGACCTTTCTTGTGGTGATCAACCTGGGACTGACCTTTCTTGTGGTGATCAACCTGGGGCTGACCTTTCTTGTGGTGATAACCTGGGACTGACCTTTCTTGTGGTGATCAACCTGGGGCTGACCTTGCTTGTGGTGATCAACCTGGGACTGACCTTTCTTGTGGTGATCAACCTGGGGCTGACCTTGCTTGTGGTGATCAACCTGGGGCTGACCTTGCTTGTGGTGATCAACCTGGGACTGACTTCTTGTGGTGATCAACCTGGGACTGACCTTTCTTGTGGTGATCAACTGGGGCTGACCTTTCTTGTGGTGATCAACCTGGGACGACCTTTCTTGTGGTGATCAACCTGGGGCTGACCTTGCTTGTGGTGATCAACCTGGGACTGACTCTCTTGTGGTGATCAACCTGGGGCTGACCTTGCTTGTGGTGATCAACCTGGGGCTGACCTTGCTTGTGGTGATCAACCTGGGACTGACCTTTCTTGTGGTGATCAACCTGGGGCTGACCTTGTGGAGATCAACCTGGGGCTGACCTTTCTTGTGGTGATCAACCTGGGGCTGACCTTGCTTGTGGAGATCAACCTGGGGCTGACCTTTCTTGCTCACTGGAGAGACTCGATTGTTTAAGCAAGAGGTTGTCTGCTAGTCTGGAACCACGAAGACAACCCTCTTAATCTTGTGTTGTAGTTCTGGCTGTCTGTCTGGCTGTCTGTCTGTCTGTCTGGCTGTCTGTGTCTGGTTGGCTGGCTGTCTGGTTGGCTGTCTCTGTCTGGCTGTCTGGTTGACTGGCTGTCTGGTTGGCTGGCTGTCTGGTTGGCTGTCTGTCTGGCTGTCTGGTTGACTGGCTGTCTGGTTGCTGGCTGTCTGGTTGGCTGTCTGTCTGGGGTTGGCTGTCTGTCTGGCTGTCTGGTTGACTGTCTGTCTGGTTGGCTGTCTGTCTGGCTGTCTGGTTGACTGGCTGTCCGGTTGACTGGCTGTCTGGTTGACTGGCTGTCTGGTGGCTGGCTGTCTGGTTGACTGGCTGTCTGGTTGGCTGTCTGTCTGGTTGGCTGGCTGTCTGGTTGGCTGGCTGGCTGTCTGGTTGGCTGTGTCTGTCTGGTTGGCTGTCTGGTTGACTGGCTGTCTGGTTGACTGGCTGTCTGGTTGACATGGCTGTCTGGTTGGCTGGCTGTCTGGTTGGCTGTCTGTCTGGCTGTCTGGTTGACTGGCTGTCTGGTTGACTGGCTGTCTGGTTGGCTGTCTGTCTGGCTGTCTGGTTGACTGGCTGTCTGGTTGACTGGCTGTCTGGTTGACTGGCTGTCTGGTTGGCTGGCTGTCTGGTTGACTGGCTGTCTGGTTGGCCTACTGGCTGTCTGGTTGGCTGGCTGTCTGGTTGGCTGGCTGTCTGGTTGGCTGTCTGTCTGGCTGTCTGGTTGGACTGGCTGTCTGGTTGACTGGCTGTCTGGTTGGCTGTCTGTCTGGCTGTCTGGTTGACTGGCTGTCTGGTTGACTGGCTGTCTGGTTGTGTCTGTCTGGCTGTCTGGTTGACTGGCTGTCTGGTTGGCTGTCTGTCTGGTTGACTGGCTGTCTGGTTGGCTGGCTGTCTGGTTGGCTGTCTGTCTGGTTGGCTGTCTGTCTGGCTGTCTGGTTGACTGGCTGTCTGGTTGACTGGCTGTCTGGTTGACTGGCTGTCTGGTTGGCTGGCTGTCTGGTGTGGCTGTCTGGTTGGCTGGCTGTCTGGTTGACTGGCTGTCTGGTTGGCTGGCTGTCTGGTTGCTGTCTGTCTGGTTGGCTGTCTGTCTGGTTGGCTGTCTGTCTGGCTGTTTGGTTGACTGGCTGTCTGGTTGACTGGCTGTCTGGTTGACTGGCTGTCTGGTTGACTGGCTGTCTGGTTGACTGGCTGTCTGGTTGACTGGCTGTCTGGTTGACTGGCTGTCTGGTTGACTGGCTGTCTGGTTGGCTGGCTGTCTGGTTGGCTGGCTGTCTGGTTGGCTGGCCGTTAGCTGACTTCTACACTAAAACAACACTCAGGTAGGCTCGGTTCATGTCGGCTCCACTCGGTTCACCATGAGCTGTGTGCTGGGGTTAGGTCAGCAAGACTTTCTATCGTCTTTGTCACCATTGGATTTCTGTGTATACGTTTTGCAAGTGTTTATAACCGCTGTACACTTATTTACTTGAAAATGCTTTGTTTGATGATGATTCACTTAGGGTCACTTGGGTCATCAATACCGCACTACTGTAGTATTCGTCTCACTGTATAACCACCATATGTGATAGCTGTTTTGGTGTCACATTAATTGTTTTATTAAGTTCTGGAACTCTTGAAGTGGCTGGGTTTGATGTAAACACTTCTTGCTGTTTTTCCTTTATTGTCGAAGCAGCTATATACACAAATATAATCTGATAGAATAAATTATGAATTCTCTTCAGGAAAGTGTTGTGAATAACACTTTGAGATAACACCGGAGTTAAGTGTCTGATTTCCCTGTCCAAGTAGAAGTAATCAACTACCTTCTCTGGGCGTGAGAGAGCGAGCCGGCTGTTTGGTTAATCAGCTGACCTGCGCTCAACCTTTGAGAGAGTTGCAAGCCCAGTTGTCTGTCGTGAACAACATGTTGACTCACTTGGTGAATAAGTTGGTGTTATTCATTTGGTGAATATTTATATCAAACAAAGGTGCCGTTACAATATGAGCGATAGGGTTGGGTGTAAACGGGAGTGCCCAGTATAGGCCAATAGGTCTGCTGCAGGATGGGGTGAGGTCGAGGGGGTCGGAAGGAGACGTAGTTATGGAGCCCGTGGGTGAGACTATACTGCAGACCATCACAGTGTACAACAGAAGTGGAGGGGCGTTCACTTCAAGAATAAGCAGTGAACGTGAAGTGTATCAGGGTTCTTCGAGGCAGAGCACGTCAAAGACTTAACACTCAGGTCAATAGGTCACAAGAGCTGGTTAGACTTTTATATACACAGCAGCCAATTTGTTAAGTTATCTGTTCAGTGTAGAACAATTGTAGCCAGTATGGTGTGATCAGATTTTTCAAGTTGACTGTTTTTTTTCACTGTTTATCTAATATGTGTGTGTGTGTGTGTGTGTGTGTGTGTGCCATACAGAATCGTTAACAGATAAGTGTTTTCCTCAGGATGTTCACAGGGCAAGATAGGGCGGGACTGTACGGTTGACCTACCTGATGCCAGAGGTAAACAGATTTGCCTACCACCACCCTATGGCTGCCGCTGCGCCCCGGGGTATAAAGGACCACACTGTGACCAAGGTAACGCCTGCAGTCTAGTGTTATTTTGGCGGTATGTGTAGTAATTCTCATTGAGTTCTGTAAGATAATGAGGCAGAAAGTCAGATCATCAACTTGGTCACATATGGCAGCAGGGTCTACCATTCGACTACATTATGCTTCCAATATCTTCTCCTGATTACAGCTGCCCACTACTTACTACTAGTGTTAGTGAAATAAGGCGGGGATTAGGTTAGGTTAGTGTTAGTGTTAGGCTAGTTTGGAGTGATTAATCTTAAAGTGAAATATGCTGGTGGTTAGTGTTAGGATAGGTTAAGTAGTTAACCTCAAGGTGATCTCTAACATGATGTTTGTTGACAGAATGTGGGGATGGACGTTGGGGCGAGGGGTGCTCCAGGACCTGCAGCTGTGGCTACCAAGGATGTGATGTTCTCACTGGTCTTTGCCGGGGGTTAACATCTGCCTGTACCGGAGGTGAGTGAAGAGAGAGAGAGAGAAGAGAGAGAAGAGAGAGAGAATGGAGACCAGTACCTTTTAATACATATGTTTTTACATTGTGTCAATATCTTAGTTTCTCTTGCCAAAACAGTTAACACATATTACATATATATTATACACACACGCACGTACACACACACACACACACACACACACACTCTCACACACACACACACACACACACACACACACACGCTCACACACACACACACACACACACACACACACACACACACACACACACACACGCTCACGCACAGACGCTCACATACACACGCACGCACGCACACACGCTCACACACACACACGCTCACACGCACACACCCACACACACACGCTCCTTGACCACCGTAGGGTCAAGACCTATTCAGGCACTGCTCTCGCTACACAGCGGCCCCCTTGGCCAATGTCGGCCCATTCCCCAAGTCGCTCTCCCCGACCCATCCTCACCACCGGGATATCTACTGTACATAATCAAAAGTGACACTTTCGTTTCGGAAAGAAGTGGGATCAGTGTTGAACAGTGATGAACAGTGTTTAAGCTAGTTAATTCAGCACTAGACAGTACCAGTGAAAGCTGCACCCCACCAGTGAGATAAGCACCCCTGGAAACTAACCATCATCTTCTGACAAGGAGGTGTTAATCCGTCCACCCTGAGAACAACAGAGGGCCGGCCGGCTGTGCACCTGACTACGGGATAATACAACATCACCCAGCAGAGTGAGGTACTGTGACACTACCTCACACCACACGGTGTCCCCATGACCACGCGAGATCCTTCATATCAACACCCGAGGACGAGTTACTACACCACGTGAACACCTCACCACCTGGTGTCTCCATGACCACGTGAGGTCCCTCATATCAACGCCCGAGGACGACTTACTACACCACGTGAACACCTCACCACCTGGTGTCTCCATGACCACGTGAGGTCCCTCATATCAACGCCCGAGGACGAGTTACTACACCACGTGAACACCTCACTACCTGGTGTCTCCATGACCAGCCCACGCCCGGGCCATCAACTGTAAACTATAATAATTTATATGTTCAATCATTGTTCCTTCTTCTTTTAATAATGAAAGCTTTTTTTAAGCGACCCACCCACCCCATGTCTTTGTTTGTAATAAGTCATTTTTGTCTAATGTCCAGTATATTTTCAGCCTTCAGGCTGCCGACTTTTTCAATAAACCGTTAATTATTATTATGATTATTATTATTATTATTATTATTACAGTCTCACACACACGCACACACACGCTCACACACACACACACACACACACACACAGACACGCTCGCACACACGCAGACACGCTCGCACACACGCAGACACGCTCGCGCACACACACACACACACACACACACACACACTTCACTTCACTTACATCCTTGACCACCGAAGGGTCAAGACGTACCTGGCGCTCCTCTCGGAGCAGCCAGGTCAACTGTTAAGTTGGCCCATACCAACTCCCTCCCCTGAACCCTCCTCCCCACCGGAATATCAACAAGTTCTCGCCAGAAGTTACTATTTCATTTAGGAAAGGAATGGAACCAGTGTTAAACAGAGGTGAACAGTGGTGAACAGTGCTTAAGTCAGTGAGAACAACTCAACAGTAACAGTGGTACCCAAGTTGACCTTCACACAGTGAGGTCCCACGTACCCAGTGATAACGGCCCGTGAGACCCAACAACCAGCGATGTGTTAATCCGTCTACGATAGGAAGGCCTGGAACCACACCTCACTCATATAACACCATCTGTGAGGGAATTACTACACCACGTGAGGCCCCTCATAACACCATATGTGAAGGAGTTACTACACCATGTGAGGCCCCTCATAACACCATCTCTGAGGAAATTACTACACCACGTGAGGTCCCTCATAACACCATCTGTGAGGGAATTACTATTATTCACGTGAGGTTCTCTCATATAACACCTGAATATCTGTGAGGTGTTAGATGTTCTGGGTAATAAGTTCTATATACAGGAGAGAACACAAACACCTGTATAGTTTTGTAGGTTCGGTTTACTGGATAAGAGTATGTACACAGAGGTGGGCAGCACTCCTCACTAGCTAGGCTCCTGGTCAACTACCATAGACGACGTATGGCAAGTGATACATTAGCAGCTTCCATACGTCGCCAGGCACATTAATTAAGCGTGTGGGATATGGTAATAACATTGCCACACGCTGCTAGCTAGGCTGAATAAATATAAATGGAGCACATACATAATATACATACATACTACATAATCCAGCATACATAATATACATACACCTCCCTCCCCCCTATACGCTCATAGCAAAGTCTTGAGCGGACCTTTTCTTCTGGATCCGTTCTGAGCGTCGAGGGACTTCATCACTGGGAAGGGTATGGGACTCAACACTGGTGGCGGGGCCAGCAGAAGGCATTGTTACGGGGCGGAGAAAACGGCGGTTCCTCCACCACACACGACCACTGGGTAACCGCACCTGGTAGTCCCGTGACCTGCCGAGACCCATGACTACGCCTACTTTGTCCCAACGCAGGGAGGTCGGGTCCTGAACACGGACTTGGGTACCGACACTCAACCTGGGGAGAGAACGGGCGTGGTCGTTGTAGCGGGCGACGACGTCCTGAACACGTTCGGCGGCTCGGCGATCACAATCCTCTGTCTTAGCCTGCCACTCCTTGGAGAAGGATTGAGGGTGAGCAGGGACACAAGAACGAAGGGGGCGCCCATACAAAACCTGGGCAGGGGAGCGTCCGGTGTAGTTGGGTGTGTTGCGGAGTTCAAGAAGACCCCGGTCGAAGGCCTCGCAGTCAATATTCCCAGAAGGGGCCACCTTAAGGATGAGGTGCTTCAAAGATTTGACAGCAGCCTCAGCGTGGCCGTTGGACTGCGGGTAATGGGGCGATGACAACACATGCCGGACTCCCCATCGGTCAAGGAACACAGCAAAGTCCCGGCTTGTGAACTGAGGCCCTCCGTCGGTTCGCAGGCGTACAGGAACGCCCACGTCACGGAAGTAGTGGCGGAACTTGCTGATGGTGGCGGCAGACGTCGTGTCATTACCGCCCTTGATGACAACCGGCCAACCAGAGAGACGGTCGACGATAACCAGGAAGGACTTTCCTGACACACAGAAAAAGTCGGCCGACACAGACTCAAAGGGGCGGGTGGGGCTGTCGTCACTCATGAAGGGTACCTGCTGCTGGCTGGGTTGTAATACGTGGCGGGGCTTACACACCTGGACAGCATTGGAGATGTCGGGGTCGATGCCAGGCCGGAACACAGTCTGTCGTGCACGTCGTTTGGTGGCCTCAGCTCCACGGTGACTGTCGTGAAGGCGAGCCAAGGCGTGGGGACGTGATGCAGCAGGGACAACTACCGAAGGAGAGGTGTCACTGGCCAGAGGTAGGGGTAGGGCGGCAGCAGGGTAGTTGCTGCTCCCTTCGTGCACCCTGTTGGCGTGTCTTACCTCAAGAATAGGTTTGGGGAAGTCCTGGGGGATGATGGCCAACTCTTGACAATGTCTGTAGGACAGCAAGGGAGTCGGGACACCATTATGCACGTCAATCCAGGCCTGACACGACCTGTTGCCAAAGGTGACATGTGCATAGAGTGAACCCAGGGCTGGGGCCATCTGTGAACCATCTGCCGTGACGCAGAGGTGCTCGGGAGGCGGTCCTAGGTCGCTTGGAGAGAGCCCCAAGCATCGCAAATGCTGGGGACCGATGACTGTAGCATCAGCGCCGGTGTCGGGCAACATCTGAAGACGGGATGACACACCGCCGTAGGTCACGATGACGCTGATGTACTGGGGGGCTTTGGTCCTGGGATGCGAGGAGTACACCCTCCTAAAATGGGTCGGGCTTTGTCCCGGGTCGTCGTGCCTCTGATTTGGCGACTGTGGGCGGCCCTCACTGGTAGAAGGGCGCCGAAGCTTCCGCCGACGCTGTCCCTTGGGTTCGTGGGTAGGGCAACACTTGTCATAGTGGCCCAGACGACCGCACACATTGCACTGTACGTACTTAGCTGGGCACCGCACTGTGAGCGACCAGTGGCTCATACGGTCACAACTGTTGCAGGTAGACTGAGCAGCTGGACACACCTGTGTTCCGTGCTGCTTACCACAGTTGTTACAAAATGAACCGGGCGTGGACGTGGTGGGCGAAGGCGTAGGAGCAGACTTCTTGTCCTTCTTGTACCGGGAAACAGCGCGTACAGCTGTAGGGGGAGCTCGGATGGCAGAGGTGGCACACCTAGCAGCCTCATAGGAGCGACATATCGTCAACACATCCTGAAGAGAGGAGGAAGAGTCGAGGGAGGTGAGGCGTTGGACAAGTTCCTCGTCCTTAACACCCATCAGGATCACCTGCTTTAACTGGGTCTCCTCGCACTGCTGGTGGTGGCCTAAACATATATCTACCTCTTCCGAGGCTCTCTTAAGACGTACATAAAAAGCGTCAAAAGACTCACCCTCCATCTGTCTGCAGCTAAACAATTCCCTCCTGCGCAGAGCTTCATTCTGCTGTCCTTTGATGTGCCGTTGTAGAACGTCCAGTACCTCCTCTACAGACAGCGAAGAGGTTGGGGGTACCTGCAACGTATGTTCTAAGACACGCTGAACTTCCAAGGACAGGCACATACGCAGCTGGATGAGTTGTTTAGGCTGTGACAAACTCTGGAGATCCACCATTGTAGCATAATCAGCCCACCGCCGCCGCCATTCGCGAAAAGTCTGGAAATTTACATCAGGCTCCAAGATGGGCGGCGTTTGAGCTGCTGCTTTAGGTGGGGCTGGGGGGCGTGAAGGAAGCATGGATGAGGTATCTGAACCATTCAGTACCGAGGCAGTGTTAGAGCCAGGGGCTTGGTTAACAGTGAGGCGAGATATCAAGGCTTCAAACCGTGCACTGTCTTCCATTCTCCGTTGGTGGTCTCGTTCTGCCTCTGCTTGCCTTCTGTGCTCATCCGCCAAA